GTAGTAGTAGTAGTAGTAGTAGCAGTAGTAGTAGTAGTAGTAGTAGTAGTAGTAGTAGTAGCAGTAGTCGTAGTAGTAGCAGTAGCAGTAGTCGTGGTGGTAGTAGTAGTAGTAGTAGTAGTAACAGTAGTAGTAGTGGCAGCAGCAGCAGTAGCTACCACGGCACCTGGAACCTGTTGGCTCAGCTAGCTGAGCTTGGAACTCGGGTTTCGGAGCCGCGTGGGCGTCACATTGGATGTCCACCTTGCAGGGTTTCTAGATTCTGGGAGTTTCGGGTATGGTGAGCTAGGATGTTGATTTCCACTTTCCTTGGCTCGGCAGGGTTCAGGCTCCGCCACTCGGGGCTAGGTTACGTTCACAACACCGAACTTAAGATCTGAAGTCCTCAAGAGCTCGCAGCAAGGCACCTCCACCACCCAGGGAGACTTGCAGCAGCGGACAGTCAGCGATTCTTTGCACTGGCACCAGTCCCTGGATCAAATTCTGGGAGAGCGTTTGGGGGCCTATGCCAAACCCTGCACCCTCAACTACAAAGCCTTCTGCCAGAAGACACCATCCACGTTACGGACTCTACAAAGCCCTACCTGAACCCTAAACCCCAAACCCTGAACCCCAAACCTTAAACCCTGAACCCTGAAGCCTACTCCCCAAAAAAGCTAACTTGCAACTTGAAGCTTGCTGGTAGTGAACAACCCTGTCCAACAGACACCTTTTTCAAAAAACCTCCCCAACAAAAAACACAGTGTCGCAACAACAATACTACAGGATTGTTTGGTTTAGAGTTCAGGGTTCAGGGGGTAGAGTCTCAATTTGTGACGGAAGAAAATCTAAACCCCTCAACCCTGAACCCATTCCTCAAGGCTCCTTAGCTAACCCCTAAACCCTAAACCCTAAACTCTCAACCCTGAACCCATTCCTCAAGGCTCCTTAGCTAACCCCTAAACCCTAAACCCTAAACCCTAAACCCTGAACCCATTCCTCAAGGCTCCTTAGCTAACCCCTAAACCCCAAACCCTAAACCCTAAACCCTAAACCCTAAACCCTAAACCCAAAACCCAAAACCCTAAACCATTCCTCAAGGCTCCTTAGCCCTCCAACTCTAAAACACTTGACAATCCGGGGCCCTCCTTTGGAGGCCCCGGGCCCTCTCTAAGAGATCCCTTCGCCTTGAGAAACAAAATGGTGTTTTAGGGTTTAGGGTTTAGGGTTTAGGGTTTAGGGTTTAGGGTTTTGAGGGCCGGGAAACCGGAATTGGATGGAGAAAACCTAAACCCTGAACCCTAAACCCTAAATTGGCCCTGAACCCTCAAAACCTTTACCCTACACCGCGATACTATCACCTACATTGATCCTGTCCTCCCACTGCAATGAAGAACTGGCTTGGCGGATCGCCAACCCGGTTCAAAGGCATCTGCCAGCATGCAGAAGCCACGCCTGGTCACACAACAGTTACGGCTTAAGTGTGGCTAAAAAGGCACATGATGGTAGGATTCGTTACTTACAAAAGTACATGTTTTGTCGGATATTGATATTGTTTCACTTTCTCAGAGCGTTGTTACCTCGATTGAAGGTTAAACTCAGAGCTTCGTGTGCCGGGGTTCGGAAACCGGTGCTAAAACGTCCCAACGCATGAAACCTACACCCTAAACTTCGCCTCAGAACTTAAGCCTGAACACAGGGCAGGGCCGTTGAACCCAATCGACACCTCGAAAACGAGAACCTCTTAACTTGAAATTTAATCGACTTCAGCAGCACATGCCGAGGGTCTGGGGTGTTGCTTCGGGGTGCTATCTTGTAGTTGGATTACGGTTTTGGGGTATACAGCATTAAAACTGTATCAAGGAACACGGCTAGGGATCGATACACTTCATGGATACCGAGCCGCCCGCCCCAAAAAAATGCACGGCTAGGGTGTAAGGTTTGGGGGCCGGGAGTTCGCGTTTCGCGTAGTTTTGGGGTTTTGGGGTTAGAAGTCAAAATATGGTCGATACCGAAACTTTCCACAATAATATGGAGGCTTCATTAATTCGAAATGGGATTTATGATTTATTGAAGCTAAAACGACGAATGAATATTGCGACTTATTTTCGATTGCTACAGTAGTCCCTACGCGGTGTCTAGAAGCTCAAGAAACCCGATGCAAGCATCTTTTGCACCTCCGATTCCGTGGAACATATTATGCTTCAATCACAGCCCCCAACCTAACCATAAGAATGCTTCCACTTTAGGATAGGATTTCGTATCCGGAAGTATTCCAAGTGGCTATCCCCTTCCAAAATCGAAAAACCTGTGGAATGCGCCCTGGAATCTTGCCTCAAAATCCTCATGACAAAGGTTTGCATAAATAGCATGGCATCCCCATATCGCCCCGATAAATTTGCAATGCGATATACGGTCGTTTGCTATCGGCCTGTCACCTCCGGCTGCGGCCCAAAGCCCCCAAAGACGTAGCCGGTCCGCCTGAGGATTTGGGGGTTACCTAGGCCCTAGGGGTCCGAGCCTGGCCCAAACACTGACTGGGCATTGACTTGGTGCTGGTATGAGTTTCGTTCTCCCCCGCCTATCACAACACATCTCATTCTCAAGCCTGCCATGGGGACCGGCCCATGTTCATTTCACGGTCTATGGATGACTCCGCTTCTCCTTTTCTGCCAACTATCGCTATGCACAACCTGTCTGGCTTTTCGTGCTTGGGGGATTTTCCAATTTCTTCATTATCGGAATCTGTTCTTCTAGAAGACTCGTGCATATTATGATGGCCGGTGCTGTTGCCGCCATCGTTTTGCTCACGTTGCTTGCTGTTCGGGCAGTGAATACAGCAACCAAGCTTTCAGCAAACTGACAGAGGCTTTGAGACACACATTCGAATCAGCCGAGCGGGCTTGTCGTTCGAGGACTGACAATACTTCTTTCGGGCCTGCTTCCGCTTGGAGCCACGGAGACTTACAGTACATCGGCACGGTAGCAGCCGGTTGAATTCAACACTGCTGAAGTACTAACGGTTACTAACGGATGTTATGTTGCCTTGCTTTCCTATGCTTCCTTTTAATTGAACTCCTCTCCTGTTCGCCAGCAGTCGCGACTCTTATCGGCTCAGTTTTGCGTCGCATGACTGGAACTGATTGGACTCATAGTGAGACCTGGACTGCTCAAACACCTGGACCCTGACAGCCTACCTTTTGAAGGATTTACACAAGAGGATCGTAATGAGGAGCCCCAAAAAGGGTAAGTTGATATCCCAGAGGGCCCAATGCCAGCTGAATAAACAATGAAGGGAATGTCTTGCAGCTGGAAGGTTCCTTGCCGTCTGCTTTGTTGTTCAAGCATATTTCTTAAAGCTTGAAGGATCCTTGATACGACTTAAGACAGAGACTGCTCAAGGCCGAGGCGTGCCATTTTTAGAGCCTGGGGGCTTCGGGTTCCTAAACGATATATGGGTCTAGGATTAGCCCTGGTTATGCTATGTTAGGACTAGGGGTTGCAATTCTGGCATTGCAACAAGGTGCTAGGACTAATTCTTCAGACCCCGGGTAGTCGAACTTCCTGCGAAAGCCCTGTTTATATATAGACCCGAAGCCCTAAGCCCGAAGCCCTAAGCCCTAAACCCTAAGCCCTAAGCCCTAAACCCTAAACCCAAAGTCCTAAACCCAAAGCCCTAAACCCTAAGCCCTAAACCCTAAACCCTAAAGCCCTGAGCCCTAAAGCCCTAAAGCCTAAAGCCGGAACCTTCAAACCCGAGGCTTGAAGCACCCAAGCCCTGATAAACATCTCGCGAATACCGGCTGAGCGGTTTAGGGCTTAGGGTTTAGGGTGTACGGGTTAGGGGTTTCGGGTTTAGGGGTTTCGGGTTTCGTGTTTAGGGTTCAGGGTTTATGGTTCAGGATTTTCACCAAATAAGAGCTTTAACTGTTGCTGATGGTAGAAGTCCTGCATTACCTTAAGGACCCCTAAACTATGGGGGATTAAAGTATATTCCTTATTATGGGCAATGCAAGAATTAAATCATCAACCGTTTTTTGCAGTACGATTCCCTTATCGCCCGAAATATTTAAACTGCAATAACACCCCAGTGCTATTCGCGTACAGTCCCTGAATACATATACATTTAAACAGCCAAATACTGTTTTGACTATCCCTGAACCCAGGAGCTCAAACCCTGTAAGGCCGCTGCTTTTTTGGGCCTATGGTCTGCTCATGTGGCCGTTTAGGGTTTAGGGTTTAGGTTTAGGGTTTAGGGTTTAGGGTTTAGGGTCTAGAGAATGCAAGGGCCTTAAGAATCACGCAGAATGGGATTTTGAGGTATGGTATGTTGTACTCATATCGGGGCTACAAGCCTGCAAGGGGATACTACTACTACCAACTGTTCAGCCTGGAGCGCGACCTTCAAAGCAGAACCCAGACCCCAAATCGCGAACCCTAAACCCTCCTCCGACATCTTAACCTCCAAATGCCAAACTGAACCCCAAGAGGCCTGAAAACTGAGCTGAAGGCTTTCAACCGAAAGAGCTGACAACCCTGTAAAATCATCTCAGTGAGACAAAACACGTTCATACCATGTTCCAACAATGCAACGGAAAGACAAAACAACGCCTGCAAGGACACTGTGAAGCACTTCTGCCAACCCGAAAAGAAACCTGTGATCCCTCTCGGGATGGCTAAACAAGGGCACACGAGCTGCAGCCGAGAGCTCAATCCTGACACCTACAGCCAAAAACGCAGAAATCTAAACGCCTTAAATCCACACCCTAAAACATGAATGCCAAATTGTCTCCCTTTCTACTCCTGTATCAATATATACAACACACCGTCCACTCCACAATAAAACCCTAATCACCAAGGTCTCTATATGCGTGGTTGTCAAAATTATGGTCCCTTTTTGGGTCCTTATTATAATACGGCACCTATTATTTAGGGTACCCCAAAAGGGACCATGATTTTGACAACTACCCATATTGTGGTGCTTTCACTTCGAATGCCTCTGAGTCCGCAAACCGCGCCCAGCGATCGAGCTCCTTCGCTGTTTTCAAGGCTCCGGTGTGCGGGTTGGATGCAGGTCTTTGATTCGGTTTAGGGTTTAGGGTTTAGTAATTTAGGGTTTAGGAAAAATGAAGAACAGTGTGGGTTTCGGTTCGTGCAACGAAAAATTTCCCAGAGGATCCATGCAAGAAATTTTCTTTGGATGTCTTTGAGGGTAGTAGTAAGTGCAGTTTAGTATTCACAGGAACATATGTATGTTAGGCATTCGGACTCTTAGGGTTATTGTAGTAGGTGCCAACAGATCTCTGCCATGTGGCCACTAGACCTGCGTGATTATGTCTGTAAGTACTACGTTCTGTGGACAGAATGTTATTTGTGTTGTTGCTGTGCTTTTCACTGTGATTGTGCCACTTTGTACCTGTATACATGTTCGGCCCCACCAGCCCCTCCTCCCCGGCCTGCAAATATAGGGGCTGCAGCTGCAACCCTCTTAATGACACATGAACTCCTGAACCCTACACCCGAACGCTTGCGCCCACAGCACTCATTTATTCAGGACCTTATTGTTCATTTTAACCCTAAAACCTGAACCGTAAGAGGAGCTGCTAAAACCCTGTAGGTCGGATCCTTTGGCTCAAGTTCGGGGACTGTATAGCTAGTGCTAGTATTCTCTGGGAGGCCCTATTGCAATTCCTGAGCCCGTCTGTCATTTGCCTTTTGCTGCGCAGCACGGTGATGAAAATCATTAGGGCCCCTGTGTCCCGTTGTCTTAAACCCTGACTGCGTTGTGTAGTGCTGCACCCCTACTTCGCGGTGCTAGCTGTTTTTTTGAAGCCTGTGACGCAGCCTTCAACCTTTAACTGACACTCAGCCGTATAAAACCCTGTCAACACAAAGCAAGATGAAACAACAGCGGTTGATGATCAATCACATACAAGTACCTCATCAGATACTGCACCGAATAGATCTATCCTTCAGTGCTACTAGCTGGTTACAGTAGCGCCAGGTAACTGATCAGGTACTCTGGGCCGTTAGTTTAGGGGCATAAGGTAAGGCGTACTGGGAGGATCATGGGACTTAGTGAGGTTATAAGTCCCTTATTTGGGGTCATAAGTATAGTTACCCTAATTATAACCCTACTTACTAAGTCCCATGATCCTTTAAGTAAGGCGTAGCACTGAGACACCAGCTTGAGACCGTAAGCCCCAAATCCAAAGTCCTGAAATAGGGTTTAGGGTTTAGGGTTTTGGGGTTTAGGGTTTAGGGTTTGGGGTTCTGAAACCCTGCCTTAAGGACGAAATGAACGCCAAAAGGTTCTCAGGTTCCTCTACCCTGTAGGGATTCATAGTATAAGGGTATAGGGTCACTTCTTATAAGGGTCATGTGGTCCCCAAGGGGAAGGCCAAGCCCTAAACATCTTAGGCGCTAAACCCCACTAAAACCTTCCTTACGGAGCACTCAGCAATATGCTTCAGAGCCCTTCAATTTATCCCTCAACCCTAAACCCTAAACCCGAAACCCTAAACCCTGAACCCTGCAAGAGTCCCTATACCCTATAACCCTACACCCCAACCCTATAACCCTAAAAGCCCAAACTAAAAACCCTAAACCCTAAACCCTAAAAGCCCAAACCCTAAACCCTAAACCATACAACCCTATAACCCTAAACCCTAAATCCTAAACCCTAGAACCCTAAAGACCCAAACCCTAAACCCTAAACCCTACAACCCTGTAACCCTAAACCCTAAATCCTAAACCCCAGAACCCTAAAAACCCAAACCCTAAACCCTACAACCCTGTAACCCTAAACCCTAAATCCTAGAACCCTAGAACCCTAAAAACCCAAACC